TAGGATAGTAGTCCAGTCATCTTAGCATTTCACCTCGGAATCTAACGGAATAAGCTGAATTTTTGTACAAACCTTTATTTTAGCATTGCAAATGTTGTCTCAAAAGTCACATATGAAAACGTGTGAGCAGCCTTAGATATTCAAGGTCAAAGGTCGCAAAAATCAAATTCTTGATAATATCTCCTTTTCTCTGCCTCCTATCGTATTTGCATTTATTATAAAAGTTGTAGAGAATAAAATTCTCTAGAAATTTTGTTTAAATAATTTTTTTATACGTCTAATCGTTTTTGAGATAGAGGGCGCAGAGTGTGGAGCGCTCAGCCATACGTACCTTTAGCTCAAGGTAAATCATGAATCCCAATCTATTATACCGTTTTCTAAATAATTATTTATTAAATATTACTTAAATAACAATTTAAAACCTTATATTTATTTTTATATATTTTTTTAAAACAGATAGTCATTAAATATTACTTACTTTTGACATACAAATAATTAAATAATGAAGTGAATCATTCTAAATATATTCTAATGTTATTCTAATTAATGATAAATGCATTTTAAGAAGAAAAGACATTAAATGAATTTGCCTTGAATATGTCTCTGGTCATCTCTTGGATCCAGATATTGCTTTTAAAATAACAGACCTGGAAATACTATAGCGGGCTTGCTATAAATAAAAAGGTTAGGTATACCTATATTTAAAGCAAGTTGTGACCCTAGGTATAGGTCTAGGGTTGTGACAGATAATATTCGTAATATTTTAAAGGTTAACATGGCTGATTTGTGTTTTATTTGTAATAAGTTACTTTCTGAAGGTGATTCTGTGACTTTTGTGCGCGGTATAAAGACTTTAAAAGAAGCAATTATTTAGAGAAATAAACATACACTACCTAAATACTTTGACTTCTGTGAACCTTCATATTGAGTGTCGAAAATTGTACGCTATAGCGTACTATAGTAAAATTGCAGCAGCAAAACGTCGCCTTGAAGAGACTGAACCTTTAACGTCATCAACTGTACCTCGTAAAAAAGGGAATGATGTGTTTGATTTTAAAATATTTTGCTTATTTTGTGGTGAAGTCGCAGATGAGGCAACAAAGGCAAAAAAATCTTCAAAGTACAAACGCGTTATAAGTAAGTTTTTGAAGATATGACAATTAATGTCAATGATAACGAGGATGAGGATGAAGAAGATAAAGATTAATAATAATAATAATAATTATAATATTGATTTAAATAAAAACATTTTTTCCTACTACGATCCAATTATCCTTCATTGAAATTAAATTAAAATATAAGATATATATGAAGATAAAATATATTTGATTTAAAATAAAAATAAATATAAGTATAAGGTATTAAATTCTTATTTAAGTTATATTTATTAAATAATTATTTAAAAAAACGGTATAATAGATTGGGATTCACGATTTACCTTGCGCTAAAGGTACGTATGGCTGAGCGCTCCACAGTGTGGAGTCCACACTCTGCGCCCTCTATCTCAAAAACGGTTCGACGTATAAACAAATTTTGTAAACAAAATTTGTAGAGAATTTTATTCTCTAAAACTTTTATAATAAATGCAAATACGATAGGAAGCAGAGAAAACGAGATATTCTTAAAAAACTGATTTTTGCGACCTTTGACCTTGAATATCTAAGGCCGCTCACAAGTTGGCATATGTAACTTTTGAGACAACATTTGTAATGCTAAAATAAAGGTTTTCACACAAATTCAGCTTATTCCGTTAGATTCCGAGGTTGATCCCTTTTTTGACTAAGATGACTGTAAATTAATTCTGATTTTAAAGGTTTTCAATAATTTTAAATAAATTAAATTTTAAATAATACAAACTCCAATTAATTAGTAAATTTATTAACTGGCAGAATTGACATTTGCACAAATAAGTCACCAATTAAAAGATGTCGAATCATGGCACTCTTATACAAAATATCACGTCACCCACCACATGCACTAATACGTTTGAATATTACGCGCTTGACAGTCCTGTCACGCGCTCGAAAATGTTTAATATCTTCCGATCCAAAAGAGTCTCCACTGTTCTGAAAAATGTATTTTGTAGATAAAGAAAAAGCGCATAAAATAGTATTTTTTTCCTTTTATTTTATAGAGGGGGCAAACATGAAAAACTAGTTTAAAAAATTAATCTGTTATTAACTCCCTATACTTAAAAAAATAATAATTTTAATTTATTTATTTGAAAAGCCTATTCAATAAGGTTTAAAACAAAAAAAAAACAAAATCGATCCGATCAGTAGAACTGGAGATAATGGGTTTTATGTAGAAGAGAATTCATCGTTTTATCGCAATTCATAAAAACTTTATATCAACATATCTCTGAAAAAAAAATTTTTTTACAGAAAACCTGATACACGTATCTGCTTATTTACTGAATAGAAGCGGTAAAAAAAATTTCATGCGAATCCAAACCCTGAAGTCAAAATAGGTGTACGATTTGTAAAAGAATGTCTCACATTGAGAGAAAAAGAATACCTATATATATATATTGAATCAACAGTTTTTGTGGTTAAATAAAAACATTCAATATTTTTTTGGATTTAAATTAATAGTTAATTTACATTCAAAAAAATATTAAATGTATTTAAGCGCAAAAACTGTTAATTCAATTGTTAACATACTTTTTCTCACACTGTACGAATGTGGCGCAAAAATAAATATCCAAAGATGTCCGATGGCATAAAAAATCATGTCGTGATTTTTTATGCCCAAGCACCGATAGCATAAAAAATCATGTCGTGATTTTTTATGCCATCGGTGTTTGGATATTTATTTTTGCACCACATTCGTACATTAGGGGAAAAAGTATACTTACATATAATATATATTCAATATATTATATTGAATCAACAGTTTTTGTGGTTAAATACATACAATATTTTTTTGAAATTAAATTAATAGTTAATTTACATCCAAGAAAATATTAAATGTATTTAACCGCAAAAACTGTTAATTCAATTGTTAACATACTTTTTCTCACAATGTACGAATGTGGCGCAAAAATAAATATCCTAACATGTCCGATGGCATAAAAAATCATGTCGTGATTTTTTATGCCCAAACACCGATAGCATAAAAAATCATGTCGTGATTTTTTATACCAACGTTGTTTTGATAATCATTTTTGCGCCACGTTCGTACACTAAGAGAAAAGTTATGTTGAATCAACAGGTAACAAACTAGATTTTAAATTCGCAGTTCGCAGGGCTATTACGCATGCGCAAATTTTGCAAAAATCACACCGTGAGTTCTACATGATATCACTGTGATGAAGCATGTGTATGCACTCAGGATATCACGGCGTGACAAAAAAATCACGTTGTGATATCATCATGATTTCACCAGGAAATCCCGATTGTTGTCCGGGTTACTACCAAAACACATATTCACACATCATTACAATTGTTTGAGTAAACACAGTGTCGTAGAAACGGGGGTTGCTTAAGCTTATTGTCCCATACAAACTTTGAGGTTATGTTTTTATAACATTTGATGCAATTTTTCGATTACACAGTTCGGCTTCCATTAAAAAGGTGTACCTCTCAAACTTCGAACAAATTTTATTTTTTAATTTCAAAAACTAAAAAAGGCATTCCATGAGCCTCGGCTTTTTGCCCTGACCGTCACATTAAAAAAAAATGTAGTTTTTTCAATTAAAAAATTTGTTATCATATACCTTTCAGTCCTTTAATACGATATAACAATTATTGTAATCTCGAATATCTCGGAAATGGTTTATTTTATCGAAGTTTGAGAGGTACACCTTTTTAATAGTAGCAGAACTGAGTAATCGAAAAATTGCATCAAATGGTATAAAAACCTAACCTCAAAGTTTGTATGGGACAATAACCTTAAGCAACCCCTGTTTCTACGACACTGTGTTCACTCGAACAATTGTAATTACGAGCCCTAACCACATAATGTTCGGACACTTCATAATTTATACAGAAATTTTTTTCGTGAATACTATCTCAAAATTATTAGAAGTTATGAAAAATTCAGCTTATTTTGGCATATACCCCTCGAAGCGATTTTTATTTTTAAAAAGTTTACCTTTTATTTTTAGCTTTAAAAAAAAGGCCGAGATTTCAAAGTTTGGCCCGTGTGGTGTATACTATTTTTCTTCATACATCGGTCGAAAGTACGCACTTTCGTCCCTAATAGCACAGGGAGTAAATGTCCCTGCTATTAGGGACGAAAGTAAGTACTTTCGACAGATGTATGAAGAAAAATAGTATACACCACACGGGCCAAACGTTGAAATCTCGGTCCTGCGCAGGGCCGAAAATTCAACTTTCGGCCCTTATAGTTTAATATACTAATTTCGCCCAGCACATATAAAAATGAATCATATCAAATCTAAAAATATCGACCGATGTATGAAGAAAAATAGTATACACCACACGGGCCAAACTTTGAAATCTCGGTCCTTCGCGTCATCATGACGAGCAGGGCCAAAAATTCAACTTTCGGCCCTTGTAGTGTAATATACTATTTCGTCAATTGTTAGTTAGTCTTTGACTAAATTTTTAGACATATGGCAACGCTTTAAAGCGTAATTATGTGTTACATTTTAAATAGCTTAAAATTAGTTAATAAATTGTATTTTTAAGGTTAATTATCGTTTAAATTAATATTTGATCTATAATAAGTATATTTTGCGTTGGTATACATTTTAGACTGAAGTAAAAAAAATGTAAACAATTTAATTGATATTTACTATCGTAAAAATTGTTTATATATGTTTTGTTACATACGGAAAAGTACTAATAATAGTGCCCATTTTTTACCTAATTGAAAACTATTAAACTTAAAATTTAATGATAATAGTCCTACAAAAAAATAAACGCAACTTTGAGCCCCTGTATCTGTGCAACCCGTGCTTATTTCCGCCCCCCTTTCGGAATCGGAAACATAGGGTTTTAATAGCAATTTAAAATAATGATGGTAAATTTTAGGTGGAAGAAATAATTGAGGATGAAGAGAAGCGCAATAATGAAAAGTATTATTTATTACTTCCCAATTGCACAAAATATGGAATCATAACAAGTAAAGTCACTGAAAAAATTCTAAAACATTTGGATTTGTAAGTTCAATCTTTTGTAACTTCTAATTTTAGTCTTTAATTAATTTCTTTTATAGGATAAATTCCTTAAGTAGTGTGGAAAATCTTTATAAAGAACAAAAATATACACAAGTAGCCAATATAATTAAGGCCACATTTACATCTCCCGGCAGCAATAATATTCAAGTCGGTAGAATGGGTAGACCAGCGCAATTGGGAATTTTGTTGCACTCACTTTGGTTTACCGATATGAATGAGTGTTTTGTTTGGACCGAGGTTTGTCTTTACGAATCACTGGAGAACTATTTAAAACCGTCCAAAGATCATGATAAATGGGAAAAGATGGTTGATAAGTGTTTGGCCATTTTACACGAAATAATTAAATCGGAGACCGTAAGCGTCAGTAAGTGTAACTGCATAAAAAATTAATATAAATTAATATCATGTAACATATTAATAAAGATAATTGCTCTTGGAATTAATATTAAAACATTGTAAATTAAGTCTAGTATAAATAGTCTGAACTTTTCAAGTATGCACTAAAATGTTTGGTATTTTTAATTTAATTTACTTTTCCATTTAATATTATACAAAAAGCATAGAAAATCAAGTACTGAAAAATATCTTGATAAAAAACAATAAAATATTTTGATAGAAAACAATATTAAGCACGCTTTATAAGCGAAAATCTCGAAAAAAATTTATGTGCACGCCAAAATTATTTATTTTAGTTGATGTTCTCCCTGAAAGAAAAAGAAAACGTTTTGTTGAATCACTTAGTAAAGTTGTTCGCAAGCAGTTAAATTCTGAAAGTCCAAAAATGCCCTTAGGTATTGTTACACCATGGATTTTACTACATTATGTCTTACTAAGGTAATATTTTTTAGCATTATAAAATTTTGTTTAATAACATTTAAATTTATTTTAGAGAGGAACATCGCTCTCAAGCAAACAAAAAAGTTTGTCATGTTAAAAACAATAAATCGGATCCATCTATAAGTCCTACTGGTCAAAATGGTCATTTGGAAGGAATGGAGGAGGAGCTACCACCCTCTATTGCAATTCTGTTTTCTGCTCATGAATTTTTAGGTAAACTTCATTATTATTATTTTTGTTTTTAAACTAAGAAATTCTTTAAACAGGTCCAAAAGGATGGTGTTTAACTGGTCGCGGAGAATTGCTTCATTTTATCCTTGATACTATATTGGATAGGCTTGATACACCAATATTTGAACATCTCAGAGAAAAAATTGATATTCATATGGAACAAGCTTTGTTTTGTTTATATCAATATCCACCAAAAACAAATAAGGTAAGTTATATAGGTTTTCTTCTTCATTGTGTTAACTGAAGACAATTTTAATATCCGTTTTTACCCTATAAAATTTTTTTATTCATTCATTTATTTTCCGTCATCTTTTTCATGCTCATTTTTTTTTTACCTGTTATAAAAAAGTGATATAGAGTAAATAAGTTTCCGTCTTTTTTGTAATAAATTATATGTAATACTTTGGTAGTATATACATTAAAGCAAAAAATACCTTCAAAACAATGTTAACAATTAGGTAGGTACCTAATAAGAATTAAAACATTTGTCCTTGGTCATTTTTTAATTGTTGTTAATTGTTAACATTTTTGATAGGCTTTTTTTCTTTATTGGATATACTACATACCAACAAAAGCGTATGTTACAATCCAGTGTGTTTGATGATAAGGCTGGAAAATGTTAATAATAATAAATACACAATTTAGTAATGATTTATGTGAAAATTGTAAAAATTTCAATTCAGTAGAAATTATAAAAGTCTCAAAGGTAAAATACCAAAAACGGGTATTATATAATGTAATGTATATAATATTATGTTGCCGTCAGGGACCCGGACCGAAACCGAAAAAAAACGAAAACCGGAACGGAACCGGTTTTTTTTCCGAACCGAAACCCGAACCGGAACCGTTTTCGCTTTTGATAAAATCTGTTGGACCGGAACCGAAACCTTTATTTGCTTTCATTCTAATAACATTATATAACATATATATATATATATATATATATATATATATATATATATATCTGAGGTTATAGATTAAAATTACGTAAAACAAATAACCTCACTGGAACCGCTTAAAACCGAAAAGAACCGAACCGTTATAACTCCACGAAACCGAAACCGGAATCGGAACCATTAAAACGAAAATAGGGTGAACCAAAACCGTACCGAAACCGATATTTCATTTCGGTCCGGGTCCCTGGTTGCCTTAGATATATTCTGTTGTTTACTATTTTAAAATGCACTTGTCGGCGTTTTTTAGAGGACTCAAATATAAAATGTTTGATTTTAAGGTTATGTTTGTGCAACAATTATTTTTTTATTTCTTAAAATATAAATTATATTAGGTAAATTTATCATTATTTAATTCTGCATTAACAAATATACGTACCAAATTGGATCCTTTGCCAAAATATGAAAATGCAACGATTTAGTTCTTGAATTACATTTACAATACACACACTACGTATATAAGCGTTGAGTTCAATCATTCAATCAATGATATAAGGAATAATAAATCGAAATCGAGTACTAAACCTAAGTTTTTTTAGTTTTTACTTGCAACGGGAAACACAAATAACGTGCGGGATTTAGCTGGGCAATTAAAAATTTGCGAAGAAAATTTGTCGAAAATTTGCCTTCCTCTCTTTTGTGAAAAAACTTCTTATATATTTAAAAATTATGTGCAGTTCGTATGCTTTAAATGTATTGTTGACAATTCTTGAATTCCTACAATGTTATCGAGCGCCACAACATGGCGCGCGCGTTGAGAAAATCTGATGCTTCTTTAGCGTATAAATACCTGCGCGCCATAAGAGAAAGAAGGAATGTCTGGAAAAAGACAAAAATTAATTAAATTTGTCAAATTTCTACGTAATGCAAAGTAAAAAACCTAATTTATTTATAATTATTAACATATAGTAGGATGTCATTCTCTCATTCTCACACTTACGTCTGTTGAGCGCATGCTCTGGCTTAGACAGAGAAAAGAATCGAAATTAAATTTGGCTAAAAACGAAGTAGGCGCCAAAATAGCGAGCAAGCGCTCTATCGCCTATTTCCATGCTTATGTTCTGTGCTTTCCATCTCTTATGGCGCATGGGCCACTTATAGGCTATATATAGGAATTAAGAGTAGCAAAAGACTTACATTCTTTTCATGATTTAATACCTACATTATTTATATCTTATCATTTAAAATTTAATACTTAATGAGAGAACTTGTTCAACTAATCTTGTCTACTAATAACTTTAAATACAAAGATAGGAAGAAAATGTATTTTTTTTGTTTCTTATAAGAGCGTCTGAAAAAGTTTGCATCAGTCATATGAATTAATCCTATAATAAATTGCAACGTTTTATACAGTCTACAGAACATTTGCAAGCATGGTGATTGTCTTAAATTAATTAATAATTATTATTATTTATTAATAATTATTATTAATAAATAAAATATTAAACAAAAAAATGTTAAAAATAAAAACAAAAAAATCAGTATTATATTATGTATTTATAGGGGTTTTAAAGCAAAAAAAAGATATATATATATATATATATATATATATATATATATATATATATATATATATATATATATATATATATGCAGAAGTCACTACTAAAATAAATGGCAAACATGATTATTTCTCGGAGAAATAGATCGGCCGGCCGACACGGCGTTGTTTGAAGTTCACTATTTATATTGTTATATATTTTTTTTAGTTTAGTCAAGTCATTTTTTATAAATTTTTAAGTCTTATTAAACCTTCGGCTTCTGCTTCGGCCTAAGGTTACGACAAGAGCCGAACCTCCTGATTCGGCTTCGACCAAAAACTGACATTCGGTCGGACACTAATTTTTATTTGTTTGCATTAAAATTTTAATAAAATAAAGTAGATAGATGTAGCAGCTACATTGTAACTACAGAATTTATAAATAAGATGGGACAATGATTCTTCGTGTAACCAGTAAAATTACAATATATGATGAGCTCTGATTCCGATTCGGAAAGAGAAGCAAAGATACTTAAATATATAAATAAAAACAGGAGACAAAATAGACAACAATAAAAAATGCAAAACTGGTTGGTGGCCTCCTGGAGATTACCTGCTTAATTTTCATCCTAAAATACGTTTTGGTCGTTTAGTAAACTTTTAAATCGTGGAATGCTCTATTTTATAGTTCACTTGCCCAATGGGTCGTGCGCAGTACTATTTTTATAACGCAGTTAAAATTGAGATCGTGAAAAAATTTGTTGGTCTCTATACATATTTTTCTGTCGTTGAAATGGCCAAATTTGTCGTTGATATAGATACCTACTCTTTTTTGTCGAGCCGATAAATTACACTCAGATAAAATCGCTACATGAGATGAGATACATCAGGTAGTTTAACTCTCGAGCAAAGGGAAATTATTTTAACGCGTTTAATTATTCTTTTTATTTATTATTGTTTTACTGATTCTATAGAAAATCCAAATAAATGCTTTTGTCAATTGTTCTTTTAGTAGAATCCGCCAAAGTTATATTATTGGGGCAAACATCGATTATTATAGAATTAAACTACTATAGCATGTAAAATAATGTATTATATTGACACCTGCTAATGTAATGTAGCTCTTCTCCATTTAGTAAATGTTCGTGCGGGCGTTAAACGTTAAGTGAGTTCTCAATCAACGGTTTAACTATTTGGGATCACTGATCGATGCAAACTTATGGCTTATTACTCGCTCTTATATAAAACATGTTTTCAATTTTACTAACTACTACTTCCTGAAAATTAGTCAAGTCGAAATCAAATTGCAAAAGGATTAACAAATTGTTGAAGAAATAAATAAATAAATAAATAAAGTTTTTATTGCATATTCAGTACAATACAGAACATATAATACAAAATATACAAAAGGCCATCGACCGGGGTCCTTCAGCCTGGAAGAAATAATATCATAAAAACTTTATTTACACTGCTTATAGAAGGCAAAGGGCTTCCCTAAAAAGTTGGAAATTTCAAAATATCTAGTTTTTCACAAATTTTGCAGATATATGACATATAGTATGCACATTTTAAATTACTAACCCTTATAGGTTTCGCGTCACTTGGCTGACCACAACGTGGATCCATTGTCACTAACTTGGGAACGCGCCTTTCAACTGTACGAGTTTTACGGTCCAGACTGTCTACCGGAATTTAATTCATACAAGAATGTTTCGATAACAGCGGACCTGGAGCAACTACTTAAAAGGATTATAGCTTTAGTTCCTCCCGAGTGCGACCCAAAAATTACTTTACCCAAAGTCACAGACTACTTAAGCGGAAAAATAGACACACTACCCGAGCCTTTAGAATTTCCGAACAAAGTTCGAGCAATCTACTACCTTATAGGAGACTACTATTTTAAACAGAGAGAGTTTAATCGATGCATGAAATATTTCCAAATGGACATTTGCATTAATCCTTTAAGGTTGGATTCGTGGGCATGTCTAGGATTGGGATACTCAAGTCAGTTGGACAGCAAATTAAATTACTGCAAGAAAATCGTCGAATCCGAGTTCCTGGACATTGCCAAATCTGCGCAAGTTTGTTTTAAAAAGGCTTTATCATTGGCACCGGATCATCTGATGTTATGGATTGAATGTGGCTCTTTTGAATATATGGTGCACTCTTATTGTTCCAGGCTGCTAAAATACGAGTCTGAAAACTTTAGCATGGAGAAGTAAGTCAATATACATATACAATGTATATTATACATATACAATGTATTATACATATATATATATATATATATATATATATATATATATATTATATATATATATATATAGTATACATATTAAGAGTATATTAGGGGATATTGATTTTTTTAGCATTTTGACATGTTCAAAAAATCATCAATATACATCATATTTTAATTATTTTAATGTATTTATAACAGAGCCCAAAACTATAGTTTGTGTTTTTATGGTTCAAAATTTGCACACAAGGTGTACTAAAGACGTGGGCCTCTTGACGGGTAACCGGTGAAATGAACTGTAAATTCATGAAACTTATTTTCTAATCTCATCTACTAATTGGTTGACAAAATAAGACAACAGGATGGTAAAATCATGCAAAATTCTTAAGCAACCTTTTACAAAGTCATTGTTCTTTTCATTTAACATATATACATAAGTAAAATTCATTTACCCCTTGATCGAGCGCCTCCTATTCTGCTGTTGCAAGACCTGTATGTAGGACCGTGGACAAGCAAAAATATGACTTAAAAACAGTAGTAATTACTAGTTAAGTAGATTATATTCAGAAGCTTTAATATACGAATAGATAGGAAAAGCTTCGCTAGGAAGAAGTGGTGTCATACAGTCGCGAAAAAGGCACTGTCTGGGTTTTTTATGAATCAATAGGGGTTTATTTAAAAATTCTCAAACAAAATTTGCATCAACTGGCAATTTTTTGTGTGAAGATATACCTACGCAAAAATACATTTTTTCGAAAACTGTCATTAAAAGTTTACTTTAACATTATATTTATTAAGTGTCAAAGTTTTTTGTCTACAGAACGTAATAGTCCTTTTTCTATGGTAATAGTTATTTGTTATTTTTCTGGACGAGTCTGATTTGAATGGCCGAGGCTATAGCCGCTTTTAATAAGCGGCCGAAAAAGTAACTCACTGACTTATTGAATTGGACGCGTAACGCCTACTATTGCGGCAAGTTTGTTTTGTGTGTTTTTGTTAAATTACCATGAAGCTCCATGTAAAATACGAAGGCTTTTCGTTCTGCGTTGGGCTGTAGAAGTTTTTTGTAAAATGACGAGAATAAAGAGCCAGGTAAAATAAACTCTCACAGGTTACATAACCTTATAACTCAAAATTCGCTTTTAAGGTAATACATTTATTTGTTTTAAACAGTATCTGTTAAACCAGTTCCTTAATAAACAGACTTATGCGCACATATGCAATCTTTTATTCAAAATGATTTCATTTATAATTAAATTTCGCCATTTTTTGGTTCAGATTTGGTCACATGGTCCTGACATAGTAAGTAGTATGTTGTGACATTGATTTATGTAAGTACAACTTACTGAGTGTGCTCTGGCTACCGTTGACAACGGGACGTAAGTGCAAATTAAACAAGTACATTATTTTTTATTAATATTATTGGTAAAATTAACAAAATTTGGTGTGATTTCTGAAACCTTCTTTCCATTTTCGTTCTCATCTAGAATTATGGTTTCTGTTGATAACACTGACATAAGAAATTACCGTTAAGTTGCTGGTAGATTTTGATAGTATGTTCGATGAATGATAACTATTGTCGTACAAAATTCTATTGGCCACCTCATTTTTATTCGAAAGACTGTCTGCGACGTAACTTTCTTCAATGGTATCCGATTTCCAGCCCCCGTGTCTCTTGAGTGCAAGAACATCGACTCCAGTGTTAGCTAACAAAGTAGGGGAAGTCCTTCGAAATGAATGTTCAGTATAAGTCTCACCATTTGGCAGCCCCAGGAAATTTGCAATTTTGCTCGGAATTGACGCAAATGTGTTTTTCCAACAAGTTGTCTTAAGCATTTACCATTCTGATACCACACAAAGAAGCGTTGATGGACACTTCCAATCATGGATCTTATTTTCAGGTATTTTAAAAAAAATTTCAAGTGACAAACAGCCTCTTCCTCCCCCGCGCTAATCTTAAATTTACATTTTTTAAATCTGGTATATTCACAATGACTATATTTTTCAAGTTTTGAACATTTTTCATCATCATATCACACAGTTCCTGCGAACGGCAAGCACCTGCTATTCCTGTTATTTCAACTACCTTCATCAAAAGGAAATGACTGTCGTCAGCCTTCACCAAAAATCTATTTATTTTTTCACGGGTGAAAACATTCGATTTTTTGGGTTTATAGCCATCATTTTTTCTTTTCAAAAAAGCCTTGAGTTTTGGGGATTTGGAAATATCGATCTTGTCTTCAATAAACAGTGTTGACTTTAACATCGAATACTCACACCACAAACTTGCTGGCGACTTTAATACCTTGCTTTTATCCATAAAATATGCCAGCATTGTTGTTTCCGATATTACTGTAGAATTCATTCTCAGGCACCACTTTTTGAAACACTTGTATGCATCTTGATAACGCCCCTTTGACTTCTCCGGTAGGAGGAAGGCACATGCAGCATTTGTGGCTTCTTAAATTTCCATTTCTTGCCCATTTTCGTTGAAATTCATCTTACAAAATAAAGAATGCAACTTTTGACATTCCACTTTGTTTGGAAAATAGTCAAATGAAACCCTATTATATATCAGACTTACTTCCCGAATTGTTTATAACGTTTTTTTCACTCCAAAAGTTGTTTTTAATTAATTTTAATTGCTTATGTTAAAGCAATTTTAATTGTTCCTAAACAATTAAAATTGCTTAAACATAAGACCAGCCATACTCAAACTACGGCCCGCGGGCCGCAAACCCTTTCTTTGCGGTCCGCAATAATTTTTAAATAAAAAAATGCACACAAAATGTAAAACATTTTTTCTTACACAAGACACAAGATTTGTATTGCTCGTGGAGCGGCCAAGTACAGTGGAGTCTTTCCAACTTTGACTGTGACGAGTACTTCTCTAATCAAAGTAATAGAATACACGGCGTTAGACGAGCTCCTCTAATGCTTTGTAAAAAATAGTGGGGATTTATAGTCGCGGGGCGCGAGTACGAAAACACCTGCAAAAGTCATTTGTTAATCTTGTGTTAGTACAAAATCCCTGGCACTTACAAACCGCCGCTATGAGACAACTTGCTATCTGGGGATTTGACAACGCAGTTATTAAAGTTATTTGTCGAACGTTTTTATTATTATTAAATAAAAAGGCTTTAAAAATATTTTCTCGAAAAACCCTCAAACACGTAAACTGAGATATAAGTTGAAGTATTTTTACAGAAATTTTCATAAAGATTGGTAAAGGCGTTTTAGAGTTAGAATTTGTTTACCTATTATGCGTTAATTTTTACGGGCAGTGTAGGTCGTTGCAGCCCGCCTGATGTAGCAGTCACAAGTATTTGCCCAAGAAAAAAAGTTTGAGTAAGGCTGGACTAGATTATATGCGCACAAAGCCACCGCGCATAGACCGTCTACTCACGTTATTGACTGCACGTGCACGCAGTTGGTCAACGTTTGGTTTTTAAACTTGGTAACCTGTGCACAACTTAATTTGGAGTTCTCGGTAATCGTGCCGTGCGACGTTCTCACTCCTTAATATTTTAATTGTTCATTTAATGATTTTTATAAAGTTGAAGCTCCTGATTATAATTTTCTTACCTAGTAGGTACCTATTCACTAAAAAATATTTAGTAAGTAATTTATTAATTGTTAAAAACTAAAATTTAACAACTTTTTCAGCGAAAATCATTTGATATTCAGGTAAACTAAAGTTTAAACCTAAATACGTGGCTTACAAAAACTCTGTTATTATCTGGATGTTGTAAAGCAAAATATTTATTTTTAACAAAAGAAGTTTTTTCTTATGAAGTTATGCCTCACCGGGTTTTGTTTTCAAGTATAACAAATTTTAAAACTTTCACACAATTAAAGATAGGGAAACACGATCTTTGTTTTATTTGGCTATGCTCGTAAACATATTTTTTTAAGGGGTTATATACGTTTGTGCTCGGGAAAATTGATTTAATTTAGAGTTTTAGAGTCTTTTTATTGATGAATCAATGATCAAAGGGCAAAGTTTAGCATTAGCTGTTCTACCACTTAACCCTGGACATATTAAATAAACAGCCATACCCATGTGGGATTCGAACCCACGACCACTCGGCTTGTAGTCCGCAGCACTGACTATTACACCACTGAGGGCGGTAATGGTTTTTATTGATTTTTTTAGGTAAGTAATAATTTTATTTAAACGAACTACAATGTATCGAATATTAAGTATAAGTATGGTGTAAGAGTGTGTTTACAAAGATATAAAGCAGTATAAGAGTGAGTTTACAAAAAAAATCATGCTAAAATTTGGAAAATTGTGGAAACTACGGCACTTGCCCCTTTTTTCAAACGTTTGCATAAAATATCGAAAACGGCTCAACCGAATGTTATGACAAATATTACCATATTAATATATAGCCCCCTTCGTGAACTAAGGGTCTTGCAAAAAAAATTTTAGATTACAAAAATTGGGTTTTTAGGTCGAAAAAAAAAAATAGAAATTGCCATCTAAATACAAATTTGTTAACGAAGGAGCTATTGTAATTAGGAATAACACTTATATCGAACGGTAAATTGCTCTTAGAGAAGTCGTGCTCACCGCAAACCCTTGTAAAAAAGGTGTTTCGGGACAATGGAATTTTACAAATTTTTGCATGATTTTTTTACAATGACGTCAAACTACACACTATTCGTGAACTAAGGGTCTTGCAAAAAAAATTTCTACAGTACAAAAATTGGGTTTTTAGGTTGGGAAAAAAAGATGTTGCCATCTAAATAAAAATTTGTTAACGAAGGGGCTATTCTAATTACGAACAACACTTCCAAATTTTATATCGAGTGGTAAATTGCTCTTAGAGAAGTCGTGCTCACCGCAAACCCTTGTAAAAAAAGGTGTTTCGGGGCAATTGACACAATTTTACAAATTTTTGCATGGTTTTTTTACAAAGACGTCAAACTACACACTATTCGATGCTGTATAGTTTGTTTAAACAAATTTATGATTACTTACCTAAAACAACAAAATCTTTTAATTTTTCGCCTCACAAAGATATATAACCCCTTAAACAAAACTTCTCACTGGAGTTTTTTTGTATATCTCTTTCCGTTTTTTCGTAATTAAACATTTTATAAATACCAGTTTTTTCACAGCTTACACAGGTAAATAAATGTAAGAACATAATCGAGTATGCCTTAGAAAATATCAGTATAAGAAAAGGACACAAAGCTAATATATAGTTTCCATATCTTCCAGTGTTTTAAAGTTCTTAAAAATAATTGAAAATGTTTTAACACCCTTTAACTTGAAAAAATAAAGCATATTAGAATCCACCGTTTAATTTTTCCAACCTATATTACAACCGTAATTTGTGAACGTGGCTAGAGATGCATTTCATTTATTTAATTAAGAAAAAATAGTATAAAACAAACTAAAATGTTAAAAATTAATTGCTAAATTCAACAGAACTGTTACTTGAATTCAAATGGAATGCGTACACAACTTAATTGTACATTTAAGGTTTGAACTATTGGAAACGCAAAAGGAACATTACCTAGACAGTTCGGGAACAAGTTTAGAAAATGCTATAGCATTATATGAAGAAAGTGAAGACAGTGAACCAGATGAAAGGTGGCTTCAATATTATATAATTGGTAAAATTGCAGAAAAGAAACAAAAAGAACCACAGGATTATTTGCAATACTATATAACAGTAAAAATCTTATATAACATAAAATATAACTCAATTTACTACTAAAATTTCAGGCCAGCACTTTTCTTCACGAAAACGCCGCTACATACCCAGACAAAATCAACTATAATAATCCCCAACATTTGGCGGTCGAAGCCTTGGAACTTCACTATAGAATTAACGCGTCAGTTTTAAAATTTTTGGAGCTACATGAAGGAAAAGATATTCCGCACACCATGGGTTCTTTTTTCCGCAAATGCCTGCATACCACCCTATTATCTAACATAACCAAACCACTTCCACCTAAACCAGTTGATAAACCACCAGTTGAAACACCATCAGCAGTTCCGCAGGCAGCATCAAATGTCAGTTTTCAGGACCAGTTTCTTTCCAATTTAGATAAGAATATTGAACAAAGTTCTGCAGCTGCTGCAAAATGTAATGAAGCTAACAAGCAAAATAAAGTAGATAAAGAACTAAAAAAAGACGTAAGGGAATTCTTGATGGACACTATAATAAAAGTAGAAGAAAAATTGCTTGGAGAATCAAAAATGGAGCTGGATAATGCAGTTGGAGTAATTGAACAAATTAATCTAGTCGAGAGTCAAAAGAAAGAAGAACTATTACAAAATGTGAAGGAAGAAATGACCACTGCTGAAAGAAAACTTCAGAATGATCTCAAAGTTGTGGCGGAAATTGTGATACTTTCTGATTCAGACGAAGATGATATAATAATAGCCAGGCAAACGGAAGAGGGTAAAAAGTATCAAGAACAGTTAGAAAAACAAAGACAAGGCAAAAATGTGGATGAAAATTCTCAACCGAAACAAAGTGTACCATCAAAACAATTAGAAGAAAATACAATAGAAGAAAAAAAACCTATTTCGTTTGAGTCCAAAGACGTGCAAAAACTGTTGGATGAAATGATGGAAGAAACAATGAAAAAGGCCCAATTAGAGAGCATGGATATTGATTCTGATGTAAGTTTTACAGAGGAAAAAAAAGAAAAAGCAGACGTTTTTAATAACGATACCGTGGAAAAAATGGAGGCATCTGAAATAATCAGTATTTCTGAACATAAAAGTAATAAACCTGATGAAATTAAGACAGATATCAAGGATGAAGAGAAAAAGAAAGTTTTAGATTTGACCGTAGAAAAAACAGCGGTGTCCGAAAAGGCAAAATCAGTTAAAGCCGAAAGTGAAGCTGATGATATAAGAGTAAGTTTTTTTATACGTAAAAATAAATACTTTCATTTTAATCATATTTAGACATCGGTGGATGACGATTCAAGCAGTTCCAGCAGTTCCTCTAGTAGTTCAACTAGTAGTTCAGAGTCAGATAGTGACGATTCTAGTTCTTCAGCGTCAAGTAGCGAATCGGTTTCCGATAATGAAAACATGTCCAACAGTGAAATTTTGGCGTTGGTTGAGAAATGTATCGCAGGTAAACAGTTAATTAACCTCTTTATATATGCACTTTTTACTTTTATTATTTAGGATTGGAGCTTTGCATTCAAAGATTGCCTCAAAATTACAAAGCGCTTTACCGTCTTGCGCATGTATATTTTAATTACAAAACCAAAAAAGATTTTTCAAAAAGTAAACAGTTACTGTTAAGCGAGTACAAGTGTAACAAAGGAGATTCTGTTATCAATGGATTATTTGCTGATAGAAAAGCTAACAACTTTTTTAATGTAAGTTTAAATTGTAAACTTATAGTATTTTTTTAACGGGACATACTTGTAGGGTATATGGAGAATACCGTCAACAGAAATTGACAGACCTGGTTCTTTATCAGCTCATATGAATAGATGTATTTCACTATTACTACAAATATTGCAAAAAACTAATGATACAAAAACCTTATTGGACTTGTGCACCCAACTAAAGAGGCCGCCAGACCCTGATAAGTAAATAAAAGGCGCATATAATAATACATAAATAATTATTATATATCTATAATTTTAGAATTTATATTAAAGATTCTGATAGACTAGCATTTTCGGAACAGGCAATGACAATGTGTATTCAATGTTTGCGTTCTCAAATGAAAAATATACCAAATATGAACAATACTAATAAAATTAAGTTATTGCAAGACATATATCGGGTTTATTTAAGAGTTCAAAAAAATATACCCGGTAAAGAAAGTGTATTTGCTGGAATTTTGATTGATTGTTACAAGAAATTTAGAGAAGATAAGGTAAGTTTTTAGCAGCTGTTTTTTATTACCTTAATTATTCTAATTATTTTAGTTACCCGAAAATATAAATGTGTTGGATTGTGCCAAAAAATTTTGTGAACAAAATAAAGTTTTAGAGAAAACTAAATCTCAAATTCAGAGCAGTCCCAATTTATCAAGAAGCCCTGGTTTAGCAAGCGTAAGTTAAAGATTGTAGAAGCATTTTTGCTAGCATTCTTTGATTTAAAAAGTTATATTATTTATTTATTTCTTTTTTTGCTTCGATTTTAATCATTACAAAAAATATATATATACGTAAATCTTCAGGATTGATTTAACTTATTTTTTTCTTTATATTTCAATGAAGCAATTATTTAACCACAATATCTCATTTTGTTTGTTGTTAATTTTTTGGTAAAACTTATACAGCTTATTATTAAATCTAATATATATATATAATGGTTGTCCCATTGTGTATTAGTCCTTCGGAGGGGACTTTAAGCCCGCGTTGGCTTCTGGGACTTCTTAGGAAGTAAGGGTGGAACTAAAAGAGCACTTTTGTAATTCTTTCGTATATGGGGCAGTCCATGCCAAATCGGCCAAGATTAAGACTTCATGTTTTGCTTCAAATTTTCAGGGTCGATGGAGGAACTAAAGTGATGGAGAAATCTAAAATTTCAACCTCTTTTATGCATTTTTGTAGGTTTTACAAAATAAACAAAAAAAAATGTCACTTCTCTTATTTTTCGATTATTTAAAAACCCGAAAGACAACAAATTTCGAAAAAAATCATATAAACATATTTTTTTTGACGCTCTTTTTGTTCAAAAACTTTCAAAAAAATCTAATTTAAATTTCCAAAAAACGTCACCTCAAATTTAAAAAAAATCTTGATTACCCTAAGTTTTCCGCAAATTTTGACTACTTATTTTTGGGGGGGGGCTCAAAAACTGTAGAAGTTATGAATTTTTTTTGTAAAGAAATGCATCTCAAATTGTCGCCACAGATCCAAGCCTATGCGTAGCTACGCTGCGGCGCGCGGTTACGAGAGACGTGCGCTCGGTCTAACGGAGTCTCCGTTAGACCGAGCGCACGTCTCTCGTAACGGAGAAAAAATGGTTTAACGATTATCTCTCTCTCTCTCTCTCGTTCTCTCACACACACATTAATAATTTTAAACTATATTTTATTAAAACTCTAAATTATTTCTTTTTCTAATTTATTAAAAATAAACAAAACAATAAATTAAAATATCCTCGATGGTCTAGCAATAACTTCTATGTGCAAATTAAATATTTTTTACCGACTTAAGAAAAGCTTATCATATTTAAAAAAAACTTACTATTACCATAACAATGTTTTAGTTTAATTGGGTACTATTCTAGCTCTCGTTAAAAAAATTTAAGAAAACAGGTTTTTATTTGAAGTAAGAAGGAAAAAGTAATAATAATTATTAATATTCTGATTTTACTAATAAATTATTTGACAAATATTGTTCAGTTCACAGTTTTCATTAATATTTAACCAGTTAAAGACATAAAATAATAATATAAAGATTTTTTAGCTAAAATGTTGAAGAAAATAGAATGGAAAAATGGAATTTTAACACAACCATAAATATATTTTCCACCAGTTTAAATTGTTTAAGTCAATGTAGCTAACTGGCTAAATGGACTACAGTCCAAAGCCAAAAAAAAAAATGTAGCTAACTTTGACATTTCCTTAGTCTCAATAAAAAAAACGAACCGTAATTTTAAAGTTTACAATCTCCAATAATTAACAAAAAGAAAAAGATGGTGTAATTAGAGACCTCTGGAAAAGTGATAAGCAAAAATTTAAATTTTTAAAGTTAATAAAATTACTTTTACAGTTTAAGATATAATATTTGGTAAAGTCGCGACTATGGTATTTTAGACATTTAATTTTTGTAAAATTCCCTTCCCCCCAAAGGCCTTCAATTTTAACTTTATATTAAAATAATCCATTATTTTGTATAATGCCATTAAGACGTGTACATATGATATGTAACATAACTTTATATTAAAATAATCCATTATTTTGTATAATGCCATTAAGACGTGTACATATGATATGTAACATATCTATATCTATGTAAGATTCAAATGCTATGAATAAAGTTATAGGTATAAAATTAAAATAATTACTTAACATATCAATAAAATTGGTATTTTATTTATTCAGAAAACTACAGTTAGTTCTAGAAAACCAGGGTTCATGATTTGCATATTTTAATTTGCAATAGCTGCAAATTTTAAAATATGTAGACAAATAACTTTTTCCTTCTCAGTTAAAATAAAAACCTATGTTTTCTTAAAAAAATTTAACGAGAGCTAGAGAAAAATACCTAATTAAACTAAAAGATTGTTATTGTAATAGTAAGTGTTTTTTAATAAATTAAGCTTTTCTTAAGTCGATTAAAAATTTTAAATTTGCACATAGAAATTATTGCTAAACCATCGACGATATTTTAATTTGATTGTTTTTTTTTAAATAAATTAGAAAAAAATAACAATTTAGAGTTTTAATAAAATATAGTTTGAAAATATTAATGCACATGTGTGTGTGAGAGATAGAGAGAATCGTTAAACCATTTTTTCTCCTTTAGACCGAGCGCACGTCTCTCGGAACCGCGCGCCGCGGCGTAGCTGGGTCAGAATTTCTCAAACGGGCCACCTGAATTAGGTCAAAATTAGTTTTTGATTGTAGATACATTTTTTCGATAGTATTTTACATCACTAACACAAATCCTAAAGGATTTTGTAAAAAAAAATTTTTCAATTGACATATTCATGATATTAAAAGTAAAAGTTTTTAGTAATTAAAAAATAAAAAAAATCATTATGGCTAAACTAATTATCCGATTCCAACGATATAACTAGCGTTGGAATCTTGTTTTGAGATAGATTCTTTGTTATTTTTTTCAATTGTACAATTTTCATTTAGGTCGATTTTTTTTTGTTTTTTTTATAACAAATTCGGAAATAATTGGCTTCTGCGCCAGCTATCGACTCGAAAAAAAAAACACATATACTCCAATCATTTTTCGAAATTATGCTGCTGAGAAAAAAAATGGCCCGCAGGTTGACAAAAAGTTATTCGTCCTTTTGTGGCCGCGCGCGGTGTCAGCTCACGCTCCGAACCGTGTATGCTGTACGCGCTTGCGACGGGACGTCTTTCGGTGGTCTGGAATGGTACTTTTCTAATTAAAATTAATTTGTGACCTTAATAATTGACTTGGAGCCTTGTTTTTTTGTATTTTATTTAGAAATAAATAAGCTTTATACTGATATAAACAAAAATAATTTGCATTCATTATATTTTGTTTTATAAGGCGCCAAACTAAAAATTACATTTTTCTTGGTACTCACTTGGTACTTCTTGGTACTCACGTGGATTATCTGTCAAATTTTATACTCCTTGATTTAGTTTGTAACTTTCTTTTAAAAACTAAAGTTATATTTTAATAATTTTCTTAAAGTGACTAAATCGAAATATTTAATTTATTTTATATTTAGTTCGGTCACACAAAATAAGTAATATCTAATAATAAAAAAGAAATGCTTATCGAGCAAGTTTACAGAGACCCGTAAACTCACAAATTACGACGCCCCAACATTTTTTTGACTGGGCTAAGATTTTTTTAAAAAAATTTTCGTTTAATTTCTGCACTACAGCCGAATACGAAACCGAGCAAAAAAAATTAAAACCTCGTCTCTCAAAATTTTGCTTAAGCCATCCCGATTCAAAATACAAGAAATTATAATTTCATTGATATATTGAAATTATAATTTCATGATATATCATTCATTTCAACCAGCCGCAAAACCGAAACATGTTATTTGTAAGATTATTTCATCTATCGACGAAAGCAATTTGTACAAAATTGAAATGTAAAATATTATTCAGAAGTCAAATTAAATTATTATTTTCGTACTATTTTTTTTATTTTTAACCATCATGGTTAATCATGGTTAAATCATGGATGTAATATTGATATACTGTCTTTTTAAAATCGAGAAAGTGTCACTTTTCCTGCTGTCCAGGAAGGCAATGCTGTCACTTTTCCTGTCTAGATTTTAGATTAAAACAAAATTTTCTTTGCCGTTTAGGCGCTGTTACTTATAATATATTATATAAACAAAATAAAAATATTTTATAATTTAAACTTATGTAATGTATGACCGAGCTCCATATATAAAAAATAACACAAATACGTTTATTACTAGGTAGGAACAGATTTTTGTTTACATCACGAAAAAAGCAGAATTTTTATTTTACCCCAAAGTGTTGGTTATAAAAAAAATGTTAATATTTAAGTTTGGCGCCATTTAAAACAAAATATAATGCACATAAAATGTTTTTGTTTTTATCACAATAAACCCCATTTATTTCTTAATAAATCAACAACCAAAACAAGACTCTGAGATTATTAATACAGGCAAAATTTTTATTTTACCAAAAAGTATACTTTAAAAATTTATTTCTTTAGTTTGGCGTTACACCTATAAAAATACTATGGACATAAAAATATTTTTGACTTCCACACAGCAAAGCCAGTCAATTTCTTAATAAAACAAACAAAAAACACAAGGCTTTACATTTATTTATAAGGGCAGAATAATTTTTTAAAATGTGTAATCAGAAAAATTTATTTTTTTGTAAAACATAATGAGCGAAAATTATTTTTGTATATACCAATATAAAGCCTATTTATTTCTGAATTTAATACAAAAAAACAAGCTCTAAGTCAATTATTACGGTACACGGTGCTGTTCTGAGAGGTGATTTTTGGACTTTCGGTGAAACCTAATTTTTTTTTATATTCTTGTTAATTAGGTCATAACTAAAATTTTAAGAGCAAAATAAAAAAAAATTGACGGTTAATTTTGTTTTAATTGGATTTTTATTAAAAATATGTATGCACACTTTCAATTCTCCAATTAAAACTTGCGATTTTATTTAAATATTATCATAACTTCTTAAATCACATTAAAGATAAGTTAATTTCCTAAAAAAAGGTCTATACAGTTTTTATATCTTTTACTGTTTTGTTGTAATATACGTTTAAAGTTTTAATTTAAGGTTAAATGTATAGTATACATTTATTAAACAATAATTCTAAGGGTGCCACATTTTATTTAGGGCCAATTTATTCATTTTTGATTTATTTGACGAATA